CTTTCCCTTATCAATATAACCTGGCCATGGAAATGAAGCTTGCTGGAAAGAATTCTCTGGGAGACAGAGACAGAGGAGCGGATCCACTAGCTAAATGAATGTAGAGCGCATCAGCTGCTATGGATCTTGCTAGCAAAATCCTGTCAGATACCCCATGTAAAGAAGTAAATCTGTTAAATGAATTAGACCACATGGAGCACAGCTGCGGAGAGACAGACACATCCACCTCCACCACCTTGCCTTGCCTTTGCCAACTGTGTGTGCCCAACATGGGTCCTCCCCATCTGGGGGGCAGACGGGGCTTTGCACACATGCGAGGGACAGGCAAATGGGGATACTCGGCTCCCCCCACTGCTGGCCCTGTGGCAGGGGAGTTGCTGGGGAAAGGAAGCCAAATAAAAACTTTGCTGGCAGCTTTGAGAACTTGGGCAGAAGTGGAAGCTGTTTTGTTTTGTTGTTTCTCTTACTCATATTGCTGAAAGATGCCTGGCTGCGCGGCAGAGCCGAGCAGATGCAGCACCCCTGGTATTTCATCAACATTAAAATTCTTCCGTAACTACCAGGACAGCGTACACTAAACATGTCTGTTGGCTCTGCATCATATTCCCATCACATATAGATACTGCACCATGGAAACTTCGCTCCATTAACACAGCAAATTTATTTGGTGTGTGCACACACACGTATGGGTGTGTTTGCTGGAGGCTGAGAGAGGGAGCGGCAGGGCTTTTTAGAGGATCCTAATGATCTTTGGTGTTGCCCATGAGAAAAGAAAAACTTCCGCAGTGAGGAATTCAAGAGATCACAGTTTACAGATGTAATTGGGATCCTGTTTTGCATGGACATTTGCATACATTTTTTTGTTAGTTTCTATATAAATGCACACTTTGGGGTGGGGGTGCTGTCTCTTATTATTGACCTCTGAGTAGTTTTGTGGATTCCCTGTGTAACTGTCACATATAACCCTTTATAAGAACTGCCTCCCTGTCTTCCTGATGGAGAATCTGTTGCAGGTAGGTGGCTGTAGCTCCTAGGCAAAAATGTAATACGACTGTTCTACAACAGGAGGCAAAAATGGTAACATTTTCTTAGATCAGCAACACCTTTACATGTCTAGCGGGTACTTTTCAGGTTTGCAGATCTCAATCCTTTAGTTGTATTTTTCAGATTTCTGAAGGGGTTTGTGTGACATGGAAGGTGAATGAGTGTGTTTGCACTGAAGATTCTTCTGTATTGCTGCACAATAACCTTTTCTGAATAGCTCATTAAAATGTTTGCTTAACTCCATAGTTTAAATGCTGATTTTGTAAAAAACTTGCTTGCCTTTAAAAAAAAAAAAAAAAGAAAAAACCCCAATTTGATGTTTTAATTTTCCTGAAAAATAGGTTTACGGTTGAGATACTTCGCAGCAAAATGAGAATCCAAAGTCAGGTGTTTTCATCTCGAGGAGTTGTTCTATTTAGTCCTCTGGTTCAGGGGAGCAAAGTCTCAGCCTGTTTTCACCACTGGAAGGAATTCTCAGTAAAATGATGGTAGTCTAATCCACATTAGCACCTGGCCCCATAAAATACATACGTGCAGTAGAGATTGCTCATCCTTTGAGTGAACCTTTCCTTACTTTTAAAGCAGCTTGCCAGCGGTACCCACACCTGTACATCCTGGGAAGGGAGAAGGGAGAGCATCTGGGTGGGATTATTCTCCTTGTTACTCAGCAAATTGGACTGAGATGTCTGTTTGGGCAAGTTGTCTCTTGCTGTACAATGCAGGTACTGAGGAGATCTGGAGCGATGGAGCATACAGGGAGCACAATCCAGGGAGAAGCAGATGTACCATGTACTGGATGGTCCTGTTCCCTTAAGCGGCTACTGAGAAAAATAATGCCATTTTTTAGAGTTTAGGGGCTTCTTGTAAACCATGTGTTGAAGACACTGAAGGACATATTTTATGGGTTTCCTTTAATAAACACACAATAGTTGAGGTTCCTAGAAGGAATGGAAATGAATAGCATGTTCCGTTCTGCAAAAAAGATCTATAGCCCTGTTTCAAAATGAGGGGGGAAAAAAAAAAAAAAAAAAAAAAAAAAAAGATGATCCCTGGTTTTATTCTTTGCTTTTAAAAATCTGTCCCAGTGGCCTTCTGTACCCAGTGACCGTGGCATTTCTTTCCCACAAAGTGACAGGCAGAGGTCCATGCTGAAGCAAGATCTCTTGTCAAAGGGCTAGGCCTGCCTCCCTGGGACCACAGAAAATGGTTTCCCGTTGGTGTCTGCTGCTTGGTCTTCATTGTGTGTTGTCTGTGACTTTGTGTGGAGAATAGCCTGGCACCTGAAGGTGTCCCTTGACATCCTAGCCACTGGTTTAGTTTCCATTCTCTGGTCAGAGCCTGGCTCTCTCAGTCTCGATTTCCCTGATACTGGTGGTGGCTCTCACCCAGCTCCTGCTGTGCACTGGGGGTGACCAAGGGAGTTGGTGAACACGCTGGGATCCTCTACAGCATCTGTAGTACTACCTAAAAAAGTTGACCCAGATGATCCTTGAGGTCCCGTCTAATCTGGCATTCTATGATTCTCTCTCATCCCTTGGGACTGGTGGATAAAGTAGGGCAGTTCAGTGAACATTATTTTGACTGATATTTTTCATAATCATGTTTAACCTTGGTTATTTGGACACAACCACTTTGTCCTCCAACTGGTTCTCTCCTGCAGATTTTGCACTAAGTTTTTGAGCTCTTTCTTCCTCTTTAGGGTTTTAAAGAACATCTCTAGCATGGAGTTAGTTTTTCTTTTGACACAACTGGCTCGTTATTGACCAAATGCAAATTACACTTCAGGTGATAGACATCAGGGCTATGATGGCCACAGCTTCAATTCCTGAATAACATAGTGCTTGGAAATCAGACCACCTGGTCACACATGGCTGTGTTGGGCTTTGTGTTTACAGGCTGGGACCTGTAAAGATCTGTGTGTGGGTTTATACTTGGGGCAAGAAGGGGTTTTTTTCTTTATATTTTGTGACAGAGCAATGAATTGGAGGGTGAATCCACATGTGCACACATCCACACATGCACACATCCATTGCTCACACTCGTGATCCTTACTGCTGGGATACACCACTTCCAAGGCTGGTAAAATTTGGGGTCTAACGTGAATTGA